TTTGTGCTACGATGCTACGTTCCTTCTATCCAAATCAGAGGAAACTTTAAATTGACAGACTTTGTAAAAGTTAAGGAAAGCAGGAGATGAACTCTGTTCCTGCCAGTTGCACTTGGGAGTAATAGGTAATGTCAAAAAGTAGTTCAGGCTATTTTTTTGTGTATTGTGATGGTCAACAAGCAGAGCAGAGCCTGGCCAATTGTGCTGATAATTTGATTTGTGAGGCAAAGATTAATTGAAGTTTAGTGTATAATCCTATTTACCCTAAATGTGCTTTCTGTTGTTGTTCTTTTCCAGAGCTTTTTATTAATTTGGGAGCAGTTTGAAGATACTAATCACCACAGCTACCATTCACACCATGGCTTAGCAAGTGGACTGCTTATTGGCCTCAGAGTTGGCCTAGCTTTGTCCCTGGCTGCTGGTCTTTACCAGATCATCACAGCAGAGAGAAGCACACTGAAAAGGGAGTTCTATATCACGTTTGCCAAAGTATGGGTTACGTCATGGAGACTGATCCCTTTTGCTGTAAATATAATTGTGGCGTGCAGTTGACTGAAACACTAAACTATTTTCCTACATAAGAAAGTTAATGTTTAAATGTCTGATTTGATTAAATTGCACCCTATCATCATACTCAGAGTAGTCATTTTAATATGACAAGGAGTATAGAGTCTTCTTTAACAGAAATCTGACCTTTCATTGTGTGGTTTTTGTTCTGTTGATTGAAAAGTAAACAGTGGATTCATAAAGTAGACAGAAATGTAAATGCAATTCCTTTAACTGTCATCTCTCTCTTCTAAGCTGGCATATAGTCATTTGATAACTTATGCTTTTCTCTTTCAGGCCTGCATTCTCTGGTTTTTGTGCCACCCATGTCTTGCAACCATTTCTGTAATATTCAGAGAATATCAAAGAGAAAAGGTATGTACAGGCAAGATGAAAGAGATGAAATTTGAATAGTAGTTGTTCTTCATGTTTAGTGTTTGTTAGCAAACTCATGCTCTTAGGCTGTTAATCTTATGACCCCAAATCAACTTGAAAAGTCTTAAACACATAACTCTTATTGATGCTAATGTGAGTCAGATTTTACAAAGGCATACAGGGCTTGAATCATATAAGCGTAATCATTTCTAGGTTAAAGGAGGGAGAGATTGCTAAGTTAAAGGAAAATGTGGGGGGCGGGGTTGTTTTATAATTTGCTTGTTTGTTTTTTAATTAAAAACACCTTGGGGGTTCTTTTAACAAAGCTAGTAGAAAGATAAATCAGTGGATTCTTTTTTGTTAGCTTTTTAGTCTTCAGCATTTAAAAGCTTTATGTGGCTAAATAGGTCAGGGAACCTGTAGCTGAACTGTATTCTTTATATGAAGATATCTGTCCAAATATGTAGTTTGGTTTGTGAACTCCAAACAGTTAAAAACAAAGGTGGACTTAGGGTGGGTTTCTCAGTTGCTTAACATACTGGGAACTAGTATGTGGAGCCTGCTATGTTCAGATAAAGCACACTACTATTCTCAGGTGATTGACTACCTCATTCCAGGGTAGACCTTGTATCTTTTCTATGTGGTTAATAGCATTTGTGTGCAAATATTTTCTGAAATGGAGCATTTATTTATATGGAGGATATACAAGGAGAAAAAGCATTCCACTAAAATACATGAGAATGAAATACTATATTTGATTTTAAGAGGAGGAACCTAAAAAAGAATCCTCTAAATCCACACATCAAGATACTTTCTGTTGTTACTGGATGAAAACTTCATCCTTTATATTGGGGGGAGGGGGGAGTGTCCCCTCAATCTCTGGAGGTAGAATCAATGAAGGAAATAGTTTCTTTTTTGGAATAATTTGAGCTCAGTGTAAGAAAATTACAGTTGCCCTGCATTTTCATTTGGGGTGGGTTTAACAATTGTGTGCAGCTGTTGTCCCTAAATTATGAAAATTCAGCTGTGTTTCCTTTTTTAAATGGACTTCAAAATAGTTCAGAAATGTGTGATCAATAAATACCCTATTTGTTTAAGAAAAACATGTATTTTAAAAGACTGTACATCAACTTGGACTTTCACTTCCTCGGAAACAGCAATAACCTTTATGGATCTGATAAATATTGCCTTACACATCTTTTCCAGATGAAGAAATTTGCACCGAAAAGAGAGCTAGCTAAGTGAGGCTGATAAATAATTATCATCATAACTCCATGACTGTTAATGCAAAGTGGGTTCAGGCATTTTTTCTGTTTGTTGTAAGAATAGAATGTCTAAATATCACCTCTCCTTGTGGAACTGCATGGGTGGCAAATTGCAAGTCTGAAATTCCCCAGAACAGAGACAGCCAGAGGGGTTATGTGACTTGCCCAGGGCTATCTACTGATTTAAAAACACCCAGGTGTGAGAGTCTGAATCCTGGACTTGAGACTCATGTTCAAATCTTTTATAACTGTAGTAGTACTAAAAGGTTTAAAGTTAAGCTTCAAGCACTTGCACAGTGATTAAAAACAAAAAAAAAAAACAAAAAACAAAAAAAACCCTTTCTCTTTGGGGATTTTTCACTTATTTTCTCCCTTTCTCCCTTTTTTGTCTTTAGATGATTACTATAGGTGTTATCCTGTGTCAGTGCATCTCCATGGTTATCCTCTACAGACTTTTTCTATCTCATAGTCTATATTGGGAAGTATCTTCACTGTCGTCAGTGACATTGCCACTAACAGTATCCTCTGGACATAAAAATCGACAGCACTTCTGAGATGTTTAGGAAGAATATTTTATGTAATAAATGTGCAATAATGACCTACCTACATATACAGATATTTTTGTCGCAGATGCGATACATTGGTTTCAATGGAAAACTGAATGATAATATCAGAGCTCTTCACTGACCTTCGCTCTGACAAGGTCCCTAGATTAATCTGTTAAAGTGCTATGGAGTGGAAAAATCCGAAATCTAAATACTTTTATGAAGATTGTTTATGTGTAGCATGTGGTGCTGTGCTATATGACAGAAAAACAGATTGTCTCTTTTCTCTCCCATTAACAGCCATGAAAAAATCCTACTTTTATATCAATATTAGGTTTGACGGTCTTACAAAACGAAATTCTTAAAGTGACTACAAGCTCAAACAAGTCGGAAGGAGGCCAATTGTGAAACTGGTGTGATGCATAATGATGAATACAGGTTCTTTTTATTTTTATGCTTTAGAGAAAATGCATTTTTATGTATAAGTATAAAAGAAGGGGAAACAAGGAGAAACAAAAGAGGGAGAGTCCTCTGGGAAACCTTTCTGAAATGTTTACAATGAACTGCAGGAAACTTTCTTGTATATTGGTGTAAAACAAAAGCTTTTTTTGCCACTACTGTTCATGTTGGTTAAAATTTTAAGGAGAATGGCAATAGGGCTTATATTTGTCTTTTTTTTGAAATAAAGGTGACTGAAAATCCTAGTAATGAAGGTCTAAACAATATCTGAGAGTTAGAAGACATAGCAACATAAAGGTAATTAAAACAGCCAGCTTGCAACTTCAAAAAAAAAAAAAAAAGGTGCGAGGGAGCAAAGAAAATGGAATGGGTGATATGGTACTAGAATTTTAATCCTGATATAATTCATTTCTCTTACATTGAGGATTCGATCATAATTAAGCCATATACACAGATTAAATTAACAGAAGCATTTCAAATAAATGTTGGTTTCAGTCATCAACTACCCATGAATTCCTGCCCAAGGATACTTAATCAGGATTAAATTTTCTATGAATAATTGAAAAACAAAATACTCACTGGATTTGTTATAATCCATGTTGGCACTGGGTTCTAAGTAGTTGCCATCTTCCATCCATTGTAATAAAGCCATAGTACTTTGTGATGCCCTAGCATTCAGAAACCAGTGTAAATATATACTTTATTGAAGTGCCTATTTATTGAGTATGATTAAATCATGCTGACATTTTTTTTCCTTTATAGTAAGAACGTTCTTATTACCTCTGTGATTGAAATTTTTTTGGTCTGGATTTAGTAATTTGTTAAATTTTAGACCTGTTGTCATACATGTGTGTTTCTTCGCAACATCATTTTTATTTGCTAGTAAGTGAATGTTCATTTCTTCGTAATAGTATGTATCTAATTGTGCTTCTTTGAAAGCATGAAGACGCAAATAGTCTTAGTATTTCTATTCATGTTTGTCTGAGTTGTGAACATAGTTGAAACATAAGTCTCTTCCATTTTCATTCAGAAGCAAAACTAGGCATTTACCTTTGACTAAGGCAAAATGGCAACATGACAAAGTTGCTCATTAAATCATCTCCTTTTTATTGTTTGTAATTCAGATCAAGAATGGCAGGTTGAGGCTGGAAAAGATGAGATATTATGTTTCACACAATCTTCAGAATGATTAAAAGATTAATTATTACATTCCTCTGATAACCACATAAAAATATTATTGGTTAAAACTTCAGTCTTTATTTTCCTGCTTATCTCTGTACTTTTCATCTTCTCGAGAAGAAAGCATCCTGTTTTTGATAAGTCTCCAATAATGCAGTAGGAGAGTTCTATCTGTCCTCATATATAAGACATGAAAGTCACACATCAAATATAGAATAATTTTCTGATAGAGACAATAACTATTTTATAGTTTATGATCTGTTATGATAAAAGTTTTAATTCTGTGCAGAAAAACTGCATTTGACCCTTCAGAATAGGCACTCAATTTTATTTCTCCAGAAATATTTTCTTACTTCCTGTAGTTCCTCTGACTCTAGTCTGTCAGTATTAAGGTAAATGGTATCTTAATTTCCTATTGTAAATGTATCCTACAACAACTCATAACATGAATTCAGCATTCATAGTTTATGTGAGTATAAATATAAAGTGTAAGATGTTGTCTCTTAATCTTTTCCAGATTGTTCTGTAAGTCAATAAGTAACATTATCCTCCTAGTTTGGCATCAACTCCAATGCTTTGAAAATTTGATTTTCATATTAGTGTAACCCTTAGCGATTAAGTATCATTTTTCTCATGGTAAGCCGTACCAAGGACATGCATCTCTGCTCAGGTCTATTAGCATTCTTTCATAGCCAATATTCACCAGTTTTATGTTGTTAAATCAGTAAAACATGCTGTGGCTAGTAGGTCAGTATGATAGCAATAATATTCAGGATGTCGGTTAATACACTACGTGATATCATTTAGGGGGGAGGTGAGGGAAGAATCTTCAAATCTGACTAATTTACAAAGCTTCATACTTGCCTGTGCTCTAGCTTGAAGCTTACTGTCTCTGGATCGTACCTGAAGAATGGTTTGAATACATGAAAGCCTCTGTCTTCTAGCTTGAATTTCCCATGAGAGCAACTGAAACTGCCTTGCTTTTTTCATGCTTGTTTGCACAGTCACCTATTTTCTCAATTTGGTTTCATAACCTCGTCTTGCAAGAATAACTTCCAGCCTTCTTTCATGAGTCTTTGATCAGTGCATTCGGACTGGAAAACTCTCTCTTGTTCTAAGATTTACTTTGTGGAAAAAAGAGGGAGGATGTCAAGAGTTAAATCTCCTTCTGTCACAAGCTGCAGCTCTTGTAAAAATCTGAGAAACTCATGATGAGCCTCCACACAGCTACGAACCAGGTGACAGCAGTGGACACAAACACTCCTTTAGTATGCCCAGGGTCCCAGTATCTAAATAGGACAGAAAAGTCAATGTGAATGGTTTTGTGCCAGCTTGTGAAAGCTGCCACATACCCAGCAGGAAATTCTCAGCAGGAGAGCTATAGGCAGAGTCCAGACTCCCTGCCATCTAACCACTGCAAAGAGTGAAATATGTTCCCTGTAAATGCAACGTGACCAGCTGCTAACCGTGCTGAAAGGAACTATTTAGGTAAGGTTAAATGGCGACATTTTATGTTAGTTGTTGTGCGTTACCTGCTTCTATTTTAAATAAGATTGCAGTTACAGTGTGTACTAATTCTATTGTCTGTGAGTTTCAGTGTTTGGAGAAGATAACTATATATTGACAGAACTGCAAACTGAAGTTACTTATGCTCTGAAGGAATCTATTTGTGTGTGTGTGAGAGAGGACATTTCCTGGCCAATCGTCATCTTTTCTACTGGCACAGGTGCCAGTTAGCATCAATTGTGATGTGTTAGTGAGGGTAGGGAGGATCCCTGTTCAGGAGGAAAGAGAGTGAGATCACCAATTCAGTTTACAAGACCCCCCACAAGCTGTAAGGAGTAATAACTTTCCATTGCTACCAACCTGGACTTGATTAGACCCAGTGATGTAGAGGCTGGAACAGTTGTAGAGCTCATCACAAGTCCCCTAAGCTATTCGCTCCCATTCGTATGTTTGTTGTACTTTTAAATAAAAGTGCTCCGGGTAGGAAAATGAATATTTACAATTAAATATATGTAAATGGAAGTGGAAAGGCTTGATTGGAAAAATATCAAGTTTCTGATACATATTGCTATACTAAGACCTCCCACACAAGACAAATATTTATAGTCAAATCTAATGAATATTCCTTTCTAGGTTCTGTGCCAATGGAAAGCCATGGAAGTATCAAAATCTTTTTGTTTGCATGTCAGTCCTCTATAGAACTTGAAGAATATTTTGTTTGATTTGGTTCTAGTTTATTCTGCACAATATTGCAGCTAGTTGATGGTTTTTAGAGATTTTAATAAACGTTGTTTGGGCTGGCTAAAATTGACAATGTGTCGTATCTTTTAACTCTTCTTGTGCAACTACGCACTGTGCAAAGAACAGGTGATCCTTGCAAATGTAAAATATTAAAAGAGAAAGTATTAAGCTGTTTATTTTAGAAGAATCATTCTTTTCTAACCACACTAGTATAAATAGACAGTGTTTTTCTAGTGAACACTGTGTCCTGATTCTATTTTTTCTTAAACCATTTTTTCTTCTTCCTATTTTACAAATTCCATCTTTCCCACTATTCTCTCTTTCTCTCTCCTCCTCTCCTTCCCCTCCCCCTTTCTCACACATATGATCTTGAGTGTTAGGGGTGTCGTTTCTCTCTCTATCTCTCCATCTGTTCCCACGATCAACACTCACAGTCCAGCCCCTACTTTGCATCTAGTATGCGTTTTCTCTTTATCCTTGGTCTGTTTTGATTTCACGCTTTTCCTGTCTCTCCTTTGCCCTCTCTACCATGCCTTTAGTCTCCCTAGCCGTCAGAGACCTGAGGGTGTGGTTTGACATTGTAGCTAATTTGGTCTGACTGTTAGCTGCCAAAAAAGGGTCCCTGTGTCCCCTGGCTGCGTGCTGCTATAGCTTCCCATGTACTAACACTGACTGTCGGCTAGCAGTTACAGTGAGATGGAGTCAAGGAGTTAAACTGGTAGAAAGCTCAGCCTTAAAAAACGGAAGAGGGAAAAATCACTTTTAGTTCTCAGTTACTTTAGCTCCCTGAACCAGGTCACCGGGATTTGATGAATACTAGTGGCATTGTTGGGGATGAGGCAGAAAAGCATGGCGAAGAGGGGCAAGATCCCCTTTAGAAAGGTAGCTGTAAGTCAGTCTTCTGCAAACAATAGTCTTGTAACTCCTCTATCTCTTCTGTAAGTCCTCCACTAGAATTTGCATGCCAAGAATTGAACTGTCCCTTATCTTAAAAGTGAATTTTAATAAGTACCATCAGATTTTTTTTTTTTTCAACAAAGAAAAATGTGCTGCTTTAAAGTATTTAAAACGAACACAGTCAGTTATGCCTCTGCAGCCTTCCAAAAGGGGTGAAGAGGTGTCATGAGCAGATTCCAGTTTGAAGGAAGGAATAACCGTGAGGGAACAAAAAACAAGCAACATGAAAGCAGCCATGACTTGAGTAGTTGCCGGTCTCTTCAACAGATGGCAGCATTGTGGTAGAAAGCAACCGAAAAGATCACACAGCTTTTTGCAAGGTCTTCCCAACTGTAGAGAGAGACTTAATCTGAACAGAGAGCAGTGGTTTCCAGCAGTGGGTACCCTTGAAGGCTACTTTTATCTACCATTTTGTTTATCTGCTGAGATATGTCTTCATGAGGATGCGATAGGACAGTAAGGGTCTTTCTCACCTTGTGATCAAATACTGAAGAGGTTCAATGAGCTGGCTAGTAAGTTTAGGCTTTTTAATGCTGCTGCAAAACAAGCTGACTGAGGAAGGCGGCAAGTAGGCAATCTGAGGAATCTGTCCTTTTTCTGAGATAGTAGTTAGATCTAAAAGAACGTATGTGTACATTGTAAGAATACATGCTTTTCGCCTAGTTTCTAACTGTGTGAGCCTTTTTTAAAAGTGGAATTATTTTCAAATCAAATTTTATAAAAATGAACATTAGAGTTGTTAAGAAGAAATCAAAATTTTCATAAGACTTCTATTTTACCTATTACCTATGAAAATTTACTTCAGGATGAAACTTGTTTTCCAGAGTTTACAGCATACAAAACAAATGGTTTTTAAATTTTCCTTACTTATGAGTACCTTAAATTGTGTTTTCTAAAAGGGAAAGAAAAATCTTGGAACCTTACCAGTTTAATTTGCATTTTGGCTCTGATGTAACTCAAAATAGATTAGATTAAAAAAGGAAATTTGGCAAGTGATTACTCAATTACATGATTTTACTGCTTTGGTATTTTGAAAATAAAAATGAACAGATCTGTTTTACTTTGAGAAGTGCCTGATGCACGTGTGCTGTAACCACTTTTCAGAAACCATATGGAAGGTTCTCTGCAATGCATATGGCAGTGCTACCCAGAGCTCAAATATGTATTCCTGCGATAGACTACACTAGCTACGCAGGATCCAGTAGAGTCAGTGACTGTAATTCATACATTCAGATAATACTGCATTAAAGTAATACAGAAGACTGGGTTTAGTTTATAAAACATAGGAAGTTCACAGTGACTAGGGTGCATTGCTCCTTTTTCATAGATGGGAGATAAAATTGCTTGGAACTAATTCTGGGCTAGAAAGTTAGAAGGAATTTGGGAGGGATGCAATTTCTATAGCATCTGTATTGTGCAGGATATAAAGATGAGCAGTACCAAGAAATAACTTAAAATATTTAACAGTCTAGAGCTGCGGATGGTTGTCTTGCTCTGTGCCTTTGTCCTTATTTCTTTATTCCCATGCAGTTATGTCTCCATTGCTTCCCTGCTGGATGCTCATGTCTGGTCTTTTTGCCAAGGGAAAGGAATCCTCTGTTGACTACTGGGAGACCAAGCAGGTGGTGAGAGAGTCTGTAGAGAAACTTAGTGATGAGGGGTGGGATAATACTATACCTGCAGCTGAAAATCATCAAGTTCATCTATTGTCACCCCATTTTCATTAGTGAAGTGGTAGGGAGAAAGAGACCAGCGAGTCATCAGTCACTGATGCATCCCCTTGGAGTGCTTGGGGCTGTATTTGCTGCTTTTGGGTCTCAGGCAACTGCAGCGTTTTTGCAAATACCTGTTCAGTACCCTTATCTGGTCACTTACCTGTCCTTCTCTCTAGAGCAGTTTTGGTTCTTGAAGGTTTTTCTATAGGCATGCGTGCAGCTGCCCCTTCAGTGCAAGGTGTCACAATGTGTGTCTGTTCCTTCAGTGCAAAGCCAGCTTCTTTGGTTGTTAATTAGAATGAAATAACAGCAACTTCAAACTACAAATAACCTTACTTAGTTCTATTCCCGTCCTGATGAGCTGTAGCTTCTGCCATTGACTGTAATTGGGATTAAAACTCTCAGAATACTAACTTTGGTGTAGTAATAATGGTGTGGGCCCAAAGTACTGTCACATAAAAAGCAGAATATGATGGGTAGTCGTTCAAAATGAATAAATGTCTTTTGCGATAGTGGAGTAGAATGCAGATGATTGATTGTAGAGTTTCACTTGACTTTGATTGTGGAGTTTCACTTGACTACGGATTCTTCACTGTAGAAGTTGGGCCTCTGGAGTTTCAGCAAATTGGCACTTCCTGAGGAGTGCCCGCTACTTAGTTAAAGCAAAATTCTCATTGCAGCAGGGAAAGCATTCTGCTCACACAGCAGGGAACTCCCACTTCTATCCCCCTCAGACTATTTTAAGAGTGAACTTGGCATGTGGGGCTGTGAGGTGTCCTCTGCACAGTTCGGTTCCATTCTGCTATCTCTCACAGGGTAACTATTTTCAGCTACTACATACCTGATCGTTGGCAGACCAATTTCTGAGAAAAACATGAGATGTACCTCATTGCTCCAAAATAAAGCTCTTCTCAAGAATGTCTTCATTTCCTTCATTTCTTCACTTTTCTCCTGCTTAAATGTCAAATGATAGCCTTTGAGAATCTCTATTACCATGACTTTGTGTCCAGCATTGTTAGTGCATGGGGATCATGCTGCTTCTCCCCAAGAAATTAATGTGTTTGATTTTTCCCTCCTTCCTACTTGTGTGAGAAAGCAAGGGACAAGCTCAGGCTCTGATCTCTAACCCACCAAGGCATTAATCTGTGTCAGTCCCCTGTCACTAGCCCAAGTCCTTCTGGGACTTACGAGTAAACAAAATACAAAGCCTTGATCCAACAGCAGGAGAGGAGCTAAAATTATGATCAATCTGATGTATTTATACAAGTGGGGAATTTCAGTGCAATTACTAGATAAGTTCCACCTGCAAAGGAAACGAAGGATTTTTCTACCGTTGAGTTAATATTACATATAGACAATTAGTTTCAATTTCTTATCTCAGAGGTCTGTTAGAAGACCAAAATGTGCAGCAGTATGTATATATGGATCACCGTGTTGTAGGCAACGTTGTCACGTCATGCAGCAACATGTTTCTTTGCTAGGGATAGGAGAAAGCAGAAAATCTCTCTTGTGTTCTGGAGATGAAAATAGGATGATAGGGTGGTGAGGGGGATTGCTTCCTGGGCACTATGTCCCCATGGGCTTGTTGTGATTTATGTCTTATTCGAAGTCTAGATTTTGCAGCTAAAACTTAAATTAACCTTGAAGTTATCTAAAACCATATTTTCTTCCCTATTCAGTATATGGCTGTCCCAAGCATATCCCAAGCTTATTCCTTACTGCTTATGCATCTCACCTCTTGATCATTGCTACAGCATGTGCTACACGTTACAGAAAGGAAATTCTAGCAGTGCCTGTAAGAAGTGTTTTGGAAGTTTATTTAATTTAATTAAACTATTTCATTATATATGGCTGTAGCTGCACAGGGCTCGTGAGGAGGCAGGTCTGCACAGCTCCTCAGCACTTGGGGTGATAACTTCAGCTTCACTTCACGAGCCCCTGAACAGAGATGGGTTGCATGTCCATGTGCGCTGCTCCGGAAATGTGTCCTATTGGTGCGG